TGTCAGGCAGCATTTGCTGGGGAGTGTCATGCATTTATTTGTTATGTACAATTATTAAACTGCAAACACTACTCAAATACGTTGTGTATTTGAAATTTAACTGAATTAAAGGAAGTTATTAACCTAAAAACAACAATTTAACTCAAATCTCTTGCCGTTAACCATTCGCTTGTAATGAATGAATTAATGTAACTAGCAAATAGACATCACTGCCTTGACAACTACACAGCTACTGCCTTTAAAATAAAGCAACATGCAGCATCATGTCATTGTTTTTGGTTCATCCTTGACATAAACGCAGGCTCTACTCTTCCGTGCAATTGTAGCCTTACAAATCTCAGACATAACAAAAACCCTTTTAAATCCCATCATAACAGAATCTGTTTCCATGACTTTTCCAGGACAACAACAGTTTAAAAATGTGATATTTCCAGGTTTTCAATAACCGTAGGATCCCTGTTGTGCCGTCCCATCATTCTTCAGTCTGTTTTCTGTTTCTCCGAGCCAAGAAATACTAAAACTGAATGTTGTAGCAGAATGAGGAGCACCATAGTTTCCTTATCAGTCTTCACCTGCTGCACTCGTATATGAGAACACTTTATATTGCTGAGAAGAGAGAAGATTGGAAAACAAGAATGAGAAGTATTAAAGCATTGGAGGCATCCAGCTTAAGTATATATATATATTATGCAGCCTCCGAGAACACATTAGCTGATGTCAAGTCATTTTTATTTTGTGGGAAGGAAATTAATTGGTTCTGTAATTGAGGTTGGCCCTTCAGGGCAGGATGGTAGAACAAATGTCAACATTCCTTAAATGCAGAGAGCGGCAGAGCCATCCCTACCCTGTGGGCTCGTGCACACCCGTGCATTATGAAAGCCGATCTAATCAAAAGTGTGATGTTCTCCTCCCACCATCTCAGAGTCTTTCTTCAACCGAGACAATAACCACATCCTCACGAGGGTCTCTTGTTGATGATCATTTTAGCAAGTCTACCACTCAGATCTCCTGTGTTTCAAATATATATTACCCTAAACATATCAAAAAATAAAATAGTCACAGTCTTGTTAAGTAAGGCGTATATACAGTGGGTACGGAAAGTATTCAGACCCCCTTAAATTTTTATATATAATTATTACCTATTTTTTTATATATATATTTTTAAATGTATTTCAAATTTGCTAAAATATGTTTGAAAATCAGTATTTTTGGCCCTTTTGTTTTGTATATTTGGTAACACTTTAGAATAGGGAACACTTATTCACTATTACCTACGACTTTTCCCTCAATAAATTCCTAATTTGCTGCTTATCAATAGTTAGTAAGGTAGTTGTTAAGTTTAGGTATAGTGATTAGGGCTGTAGAATAAGGTCATGTAGAATAAGGCATTAATATGTGCTTAATTAGTACTAATAAATGGCTAATATTCTAGTCATATGCATGCTAATAAGCAACTAGTTAAGAAAACCTAAAATAAAGTGTTACCGTATATATTTTTAAAATATATTTTAAAAATATAAATAAAGATACTTTATATCAAATAAAGAAAAACTTTATGTAGTAAACATATAACACATTTTATTAAAATTCAGCTACTTTACAATGTTCCAAGAAATTATTAGTAAACCATTATAAACCTTGTTTTGATCTCCTTCCATATTTGCGTTTAGCCTAAATGTAGGTAAGATCAGAAAAGTATTGTCTTTCACCTGAAATACATTTTTTTAAGTATATTACAGTTTTTTTCAACTGCTTACACACAAAATCTTTACTTGTCACACAATTTCTGAAAGCTGACACTCAAACAGCAGAACCACACACCAAATCTACAAAACCATACGCTAATTCTCTGCCTTTGACTCAGTTTTCAATTTCATAAAACACTTTTTGCAAAACACAACACACAATTCTCTATGTAGCACACAAAAATCTAACCGGAATTAATGTTATGGCAAAGGTGTTTGCAAATGTTTGCTTTTGAGATGCGTTTGTGATACTTTGAACGCAGTGCTTCATTTTGCAAGAGATGTGAGGCATTTTGCATTTCGTGTGTGCAATTTATGGATTTGTGTGTAAAGTTTTGAAAAAAAAGAGGCAACGTTTTGAAAATGTGTGTAAGCAGTTGAAAAAAAATTGTAAGGTATGAGGTATATGCAGGTTGAACTTAAATATATTTTCTATGAGAACTGGTATAAACACTCCGTCAGTGTAAGACGGGTAATAACCGAACACACTCACTAAACCGCTTCGGATCTGTGCATGCAAAACTCAGCGCTCTTCTTTCTCTCATTTCAGTGATGAAACACATAAGAGTTTTTAATCAGTTGTTCTAAGCTGTTCTAAGTTGCATGTCTTCCTCAAGTGAGTTTTTCGGGATCATAATTTGATTTACAAAACATAAGTCGGGGCTCGACAGTAACGCTTGTCCGGGATTTTTTGAAGGGGCAAGTGAGAGAGATTTTTACTTGCCTGACTGGACATGCAGTCTGATTGAGCCGTCAGTAACAAAAAAATTACTAATATATATATATATATACAGTCGCACAACTCCGCAACCCTTATGTCTGGATGATCAAGTAAAGCTAAGCTTTTTCAGTAAGTAATATTACTAACAATATCAAAGTTATTCTTATGTTTACTTTATAAAAAACAGTAATGATTTCACAGCAAAAACACGTGTTTAGCATGAGCTGAAGGGTGCGTTTGTACAATTATACTAAAATAATAAAAAATGCCTGCATTTTTCATGGCTGTCAATCCAGAACTCTGTGGCATGAATTCATTAAAGTGTTGCATAACTTTTAAACACACGCAAACTTCTTATTTACTAGTCACCCAAATGTAAAATAAGGATTATTACATATTTTTCACAAATGGCAGAATTAGAAACAGCACGTCAACTGAGTTCAGTGTCAACAACATTGTTTAAGGACATTTTCTAGTGATTTCAGGAGCAGAAATTCACTACAGCATGATGAAATGCTGGAGAAGAGCGTTCTAACAGAGGTGCAGCGCAGTCGGCTCATGCTCAGCTTTCACAGGTGTCTGGATCACAAGTCATTGTTGTAGCGGTATACGGGCCGTCCCTCCTCTTGCACTTTTCAGATCTGATGGCTGCAATTTGACAGGCAGGTGCAGGAACTAATTTTCCCTCTAACCAGGACAAATCAATATATTCAGCACCGCAATCCTCTCTCAACATCACCTAAATGACCTCTTTTCATTTGAAAGAATTAAATCCACCTGGAACTGTCAGGAAATCATGCAAACGACATGTGTGTGCCCGGAAGCGTCCACTGCAGCAGAATGCTAATGGACACAAGCGTTCAAGTTGTTTGCTTAAGCCGTCGAGCACCAGCGTGATCTGCTTAGACTGCCGTCAGCACACCAACACTATTATTTGCAAGCTAGCTGTGAAATGACTGATCTGAAAGCCAGACTGTTATTGACCCGAGGTCAGTCGGAGACATTTGCGATGTCTGGGTCGTTCTTGTTTGCGCACTTCAGACGGACCGTTCATCAAATGATCAAATGGCTCATCAAGACAAGTCATCTTACTTTTATTTCTAGAGTGCTCTATACAATACAGAGTGTGTCAAAGCAGCTTTAGAGTAATAAACAGGAAAATAACACAAGCAATCATGGAAAATAGGGTGGCACAATAAATCACGTTTTAATCGTGATCTTGATTTCTGCTGCTTTCGATTTGATAACTCTTTCCCCGCCATTAACAGATTTTTTTCTTTCCATGTTTTCCCTGTTATACAGTAGGGGGCGCTATTACACATCTTCTGAAAGAGTACAGAATCCCCAGGTCAAAACACAGACAAAGAAGAAGCACAAACAAGTGATCGCGTATGTAAGCAGATGCATATGTAAAATAATGCGACCATCAAACATTAACAGCATATACTGTTATTCAAAACTGCCTAATGTTACAAAATGAAATGTCAAGCCAGGAAGTGAAGCTTTAGAGGTGCTAATGAACTCTATCTATTCCATCAATGTTTTGTTTATTGTTCTGAATCCTGTCTGGACATAGTCTTTTCTTTTTTTTCAATAGTTAAGTGTTGATTTAAAAAGAATGAATGAAGCTAGAATAATTTTGAAAAAAAATAGTTTAAAAGCAGAGGCTTTGTTCTGCTTTTGACATATTGCATGTTTAGATATTCATACAATAAAATCAAATCTGCTGATGGGGAAAGAGTTACGCATTTATTTGCCTGCTGGTTATTTATCCCGAAACATTTCATTTTAACGTGGCATTCACATTATCCTGAATTGGTAACAAACCTTCATAAGCTTTCATGATTGCGGTTGCCAAATGTCAAGATTTTAAATTCCCCAATCAGAGAATTTCTTTTGAATCAATACATTTTCTGTCCATTTGTTTACTTCATCTTCCCAAACGGTAGGGGGCGCTATTACACATCTTCTGAAAGAGTACAGAATCCCCAGGTCAAAACACAGACAAAGAAGAAGCACAAACAAGTGATCGCGTATGTAAGCAGATGCATATGTAAAATAATGCGAACATCAAACTTTAACAGCATATACTGTTATTCAAAACTGCCTAATGTTACAAAATGAAATGTCAAGCCAGGAAGTGAAGCTTTAGAGGTGCTAATGAACTCTATCTATTCCATCAATGTTTTGTTTATTGTTCTGAATCCTGTCTGGACATAGTCTTTTCTTTTTTTTTTACCCACATTCAAGTGTTGATTTAAAAAGAATGAATGAAGCTAGAATAATTTTGAAAAAAAATAGTTTAAAAGCAGAGGCTTTGTTCTGCTTTTGACATATTGCATGTTTAGATATTCATACAATAAAATCAAATCTGCTGATGGGGAAAGAGTTAAGCATTTATTTGCCTGCTGGTTATTTATCCCGAAACATTTCATTTTAACGTGGCATTCACATTAGCCTGAATTGGTAACAAACCTTCATAAGCTTTCATGATTGCGGTTGCCAAATGTCAAGATTTTAAATTCCCCAATCAGAGAATTTCTTTTGAATCAATACATTTTCTGTCCATTTGTTTACTTCATCTTCCCAAACCTGGCAACCACGGCATCATCCTCAACTTCCTGGATCTGGAGGATATAAATGTGAGTACTTCCATATCACACTGTTGAACATCACCATTATGCTTAAAAATGAAGATGCCCCAATAGCATTGTATGTAATTTAAGATGGTTTTGAAGTCGACAAGAATAACCACTGCTAGAAAATTAACCCTGGTCTCCCTGCATGAAATACTGACCGGTATTCTTATGGTTTATGTAGATCTCAGGAAGCACATGTTTTGGTTGGCTGACAAAAGATTCATGTATTTGAATTGCTTATAAAATTTAAATCCATTTAGACTGCAAAGTTTAAACATAAACGAATAAACTTGACGTGATTCATATTTGTCAAACATACATACAGTAAATGTAACATACAAAAAGCAGTTAAGAAGCAGGCAAGATTTATGAAATAGTACTCATAAATTGAATGTTTTAAATACACATTAACTAGGATTATATATTTATCATCGATAAATCCAAATTGGTTTCAAACTCACATTTTAAATATTTTAACTCCTTAAATATTTATTGTTTCACAGATCTGGGCCAATTAATAATGCACGTGTTTTCACAATGTAATTTAATTTAAAATGTATTTTAATCATTTAAATATGTGACCCTGGAGCACAAAAGCAGTGTTAAGTCGCTGGGGGATATTTGTAGCAATAGCCAACAATACATTGTATGGGTCAAAATTATAGATTTTTCTTTTATGACAAAAATCATTAGGATATTAAGTAAAGATCATGTTCCATCAAGATATTTTGTAAATTTCCTACCATAAATATATCAAAACTTAATTTTTAATTAGTAATATGCATTGCTAAGAACTTCATTTGGATAATTTAATGGTGATTTCTCAATATTTATATTTTTTTGTAACCTAAGATTCCAGATTTTCAAATAGTTGTATCTCGTCCAAATATTGTCTGATCCTAACAAACCATAAATCAGTGGAAAGCTTATTTATTCAGCTATCATATGATTTATAAATCTCAATTTTGAAAAATTTACACTTAAGACTGGTTTTGCGGTCCACGGTCACATATAATTTTATGTGTTAAATAAAATCAAATACTGCAGATGCAAAGATGTATTTACTTATTTATTTTTAATGCAGACATTTTACTACTACTTCAGCTGGCTCCAAGTGTCATCAAGAAATTGTCGTGGAAGAAATTTTTTAACACCAAAAATTTTTTTAAAAATTTATATTAATAATAAATATAAAAATTATAATAAAAGGTGTGAGTTCCGTATTAGAAAGCATAACTTCAAAGCTAAAGTCACTAGCATCACCAAACTGAGCTGCACAAATAGTGACACGGTTCTGCTTCCTGCCATGATTTTTTGAGCGCAGAAATCAGACTTGTTTCATTTATGTATGATTGACAAATATGCATCACATTACGTTTATTACTTTGTTAAAAATGTGTAATCCAAATGTTTGGATATTTTATGTGTAATTCAAATACATAAATCTTAAATGTAGGCCCATTTATATGCTTATTGCGACAGTACAGCTTGGTAATATGCATCCTGCGTGACGTGAGGCATTCACAGTATTCTGGATTATAAGGGAATTTTGTGCTCAGAACATCTTCTCAAGGTGAGGAACCCTGCAGAGCTTCTTTCCCGATGTAAAATGCTTACATCCTCCTGTTAATTGGGCAGCTGCTGAATATCTGATAACCTTCCAGAACACAAAGCTCAGTCAGGGTCCAGTTGCATTGATTTTCACCAATTAATCAGTATGTTTGAGAATAGAAGCTCATGCCAACACAAATTACAAATGTTAATGTTCATTATCAGGACACATGCTCGGTATTCTGAGGCACGCTTTCCATTTCCAATTACTAACCATATTTGTGTTTCTGCACTTCATATCATGATGTAATTGGAAATAACATAATGATCGTGGTCTCAGGAGTTGGGCCAGGAGCCGTGCTGATTTCAAAGGACTGCAAATCATGTGTAGATTTTGAGCAGCAGACATGCTCAGGGTGGGAATGGGTAGTGTTTAATGAGGTGTGTCACACTTGTGTTTAGCTCACCTGCGTTCCTGACAACATGGGGTTGTGTTTACGCGCTCGCTCATTACAATACTCTAATTGCATGTTAATGAAGTGTTTGTTGAATGTTGCAACACTGACCCAGTCAACGACGACTCGCGTGGTCAACGAGAACGAGCACCGGCGAATGACGCTCCACCGTTCAGCTTCATAAGCAGCCGCAGAGAGAATCAGAAGACCGACATGGTCCAGACAAACAGGGAAACTAAATAAATACATGATTGTGTCTTGCGCCAGAAAACCGAAACATCAGCATGTGAAATTGTGTTTTGATTGTGAGGAATAGGTCTTTTACATTGATTGTCTCTGATTCCTCAGACGGATCATTTATACATTCCCAGGAGAAAAGATGAGTTTATTCTACATGATTTCTCACTGTTGACTTATCTTTAAAACTGAGGCATATGGTGCAGTTTATAGCTGTATAGTAATTTGGGGGCATTCAGTATTTGTCGGTTTCTGTCGCACTTGTCACAGTTCACGCAGTGAATCGTTGATTTCAGTGGGATGGTGCATGATGAGCAGTGTTGGGAAAAGTTACTTTTAAAAGTAATGCATTACAATATTGCGTTTCTCCATAAAATAGTAACTAATTATGTTACTTAGTTACTTTTTAGGGAAATAAATGCATTGTTACTTTTGTGTTATTATCGGTCACTTGAGCTGGGTTTGCTTATTTATTTTAAGTTACAAATACACCCAGAAGTTATATTTTTGGGAACTGTAAGGGCCCTTTCACACTAAACGTGAAGTTAATAAGCCTCAGATTGAAGGAAGTGCCTCTGCACCTCACTCCCAATTTCTCTCAACATGGGGACAGGAGAGGTGTTAGTGAATAAATGGGAGAACAAAATAACTTGTGTTTCTTATTTGAAAAAGTAACAGATATTTCATTGTAAGTTTAAAAGTAATGCGGTACTTTACTAGTAACTTGGAAAAGTAGCCTGATTACGTAAATCGCATTGCTTGCAATGTGTTACCCCCAACACTGGTCATGAGGATGTAGTGGAAAACCTTGCACTGTTGACCACTGAGAAGTTCACACTGGTGAGTTCAGTGGTGCATTTGTATGTCATTGATTTAGACATATTTATACACAGTACTATTCATTTCTCTATGTGTAAAACCTTGTTAATATAAAAGCGAGTTTACCGTCACACATATTTCTTTCATTCCTATCCTTTGAATGAGGAAAGCATCTGACCCTACTGTCTCTGTATGAAGGAAAAAATGCTAAAGCACCAGCAGAATGAGAGCTTCAGTTTAAGACAACCTGAGGCAAAGTCTGGAGATAACTGTTTTCAATGTCTCTTAAAACTTTACTTAAAGTGCCTGTATATTTTTATATTAAAGCAGTGAAGGTGTTTTTTTTCTGAACCCATGATTAAAGTTTCTAAGGATTAATTTCAGTCCATACATTTCCTTCATTTTCTTACATTTTGTTTCATTATCATTTATCATTTGTCATTTATGTAATTTGATTTATATTATTTAGCATTGTTATTTTTATTGTACTTTTACATTTTATATTACTTATTACTTTCCTTGCTCTTGCAGTGCTTGCTTTTGTTATTTAATCTTATGATTGCAGAGTTTCATGGAGTGTAAATAAGAGATAAGAGAGAATATTGCAATTCCAATGAGATGGGATCTTGATGTGAAGTAGTTTAATATAATAACACTTCTTGGATTTGTGCTGAAACTTATGCAACTAAGATTAATAAATTTTTATCAACATCACTTCATCTCCTGCTTCTGCTCTTCTCTAGATTTCTCAGTCAACTTCTTGGCTGATAGACGATTGTTAATACAGTTTTGGGTACCTGCCAAGACTTGCTATTAACGGGTTTTGGGTATTAGATAAAACTTTGCTGTCTGGGTTTGGGATATGAGACAAAACGGATATATTGTGGCAGGAACTGGCATCCGGGTTCGGATTTGAAATTTCTGACATGGAGAGGGTCTTCTTTCCCTGCTGATTCTGCCAAGCCCATTCTCTTGGCTGTGGTTTCGCTAGATCGCAGGTAGGGACAGTGGGAATCCCGTTCATCCATTCATGCACGTCACTAATTAGATGACAAGGCATTTGGCTATTTACAACACGTTTTCAAGTCGTCCTGTCCCTTGTGGTGATTGACTTCCAATTACGCGTGAAGCACCTAAAAACATGCTAGACAGTTAGTTGTGGCAAGGCTTTTGCGGGTCATATTTGCTTCATAAGTCTTTTTTGGTTCTAGGTTCCATGGGTGTACACGTCGTAGCATTTGAGTGATTCGCGATTGTTAGCAGACATAGATCCGAGAGGTCTCTAGCAGTCAGACCCATTGCCCAAAGTCCCCTTCCACTAGCACCATACATCAGTCCTCGGCTTAACACTTCTTGGATTTGTGCTGAAACTTATGCAACTAAGATTAATAAATTTTTATCAACATCACTTCATCTCCTGCTTCTGCTCTTCTCTAGATTTCTCAGTCAACTTCTTGGCTGATAGACGATTGTTAATACAGTTTTGGGTACCTGCCAAGAATTGCTATTAACGGGTTTTGGGTATTAGATAAAACTTTGCTGTCTGGGTTTGGGATATGAGACAAAACGGATATATTGTGTCAGGAACTGGCATCCGGGTTCGGATTTGAAATTTCTGACATGGAGAGGGTCTTCTTTCCCTGCTGATTCTGCCAAGCCCATTCTCTTGGCTGTGGTTTCGCTAGATCGCAGGTAGGGACAGTGGGAATCTCGTTCATCCATTCATGCACGTCACTAATTAGATGACAAGGCATTTGGCTATTTACAACACGTTTTCAAGTCGTCCTGTCCCTTGTGGTGATTGACTTCCAATTACGCGTGAAGCACCTAAAAACATGCTAGACAGTTAGTTGTGGCAAGGCTTTTGCGGGTCATATTTGCTTCATAAGTCTTTTTTGGTTCTAGGTTCCATGGGTGTATACGTCGTAGCATTTGAGTGAT